ACAGCTTTAATAACAATATCAAATTTACGATGGAGGAAGAATTACATGGAAGATTACCCTATTTGGATACAATAGTCTGTAGGAACAATGAGAAAATAGAATTTGATTGGTACCAAAAACCGACAGCTTCTGGCAGAATCATTAATTTCTTTTCAAAGCATCCGAAACAAATAATAATTAACACTGCTAAGAATTTTGTACACAGAGTATTGAATATAAGTGACGAAAAATTCCACAGCCGAAACAAAAACAAAATCAGAGAAATATTGACAATGAATAATTTTCCAATGAACATGATCAACAACTTTATTGAATATAGACCCACAAGACCAAAACAAGAAAAAGAGGAAAAAACATACAAGTCGATGATTTACATACCAAACATGTCAGAAAGGTTCTTAAAATCTAACATATACGACAAGAATACATTTGCAATAGCGCAAAAAACGAACAACACTCTAAAAAAGTTTTTCAGCGACACTAAAAGCAAAATAAACACCGAAGACAAACACAACGTAATTTAGCAAATTGAATGCGAGGGAAACAACAACGAAAAATATGGGAAACTGTATGTTGGGACAACAAAAAACAGACTTAAAACGAGAATGTCTGCTCACAAATCAAACATCAAATGCAGAAACGAAAATGAGACAAAAAAGACAGCTCTTGCTGAGCATTGCAGGAGAAATAACCACACACCAAACTTTGAGAATATTAAAATACTACAAACGGAGAGTAACTACAGCAGGAGATTGACTTTAGAAATGTTACATATTAATAACCTACCAACAACAAAGAGAATAAACTATAAGAGCGACACCGACAACGCAGCTTATTGCTACCGCCATCTCACACAGAAAAATAGATCGTGCAATATGTAAAACAACTCAGTGCAATATTTACCACAGACGATGATAGTGAAATTCTATCGTAGGTTTAAGTAAAACTTGACACTTTTATAGATGTTTTACATGTAAGCAATATATTTATTTTCTGTGTATTTTTCTGTTTGTCTTTTATCGTTTTGTTAAATAATTTAATGCTGTGATAACATGAAATATAAAAATCAAAATGTATTTTTGTAGATCTCCCTGAAGATGCAATGTAACCCATTGCGAAATATCGGATTTTAATAAAGAAAAAAACCCAGACCTAAAGCTCAAAGAAAGACTTATTTATTGAAATTACATTGGAAAAGGTCGATTAAAAAAACAAACTTGAATTATATATAATTAATGAAAATTGGTGATTGTCTCTAGCACAAAATTCGTCGATTTTCATACCTTTCTTATTTAGGCGGTGTAACTGGTGCTCAAGGGTTCGTATGTCTCTTCTGTCCGCATAGTGTAGTGAGAGACACTCTTTAATTTTTATCCAATTACTATCGAAGATATTATAGGATATGAGTGCAGAATCTGCTGCACCCCCTTATTTGCTAGGGAACTTATTTGAAAAACTAGATTGTTTCGTCCCACAATTATTTATATTTTTTATTTATTTATTTTTTTCGATTGATTGATTGGTAACACTTTTATCTGTTGTGATTCCTCTTTTATTTAAAATTCCGTTTCGATTTTGCACTACTGGGGACTTTATCTTTTTATTACTTTATTATTTTTTTTTTTTAATTTTTTATTAAGGTTTTACATTTATTTTAATTTACTAAAAAAACTCCCCTTCACTGTTTTAAAAGGATTTATTTTTGATTTCAATTTTCTAAAAAAATGTGCTGTTTTCAATGTTAATTAATTATTAGAATTTTTTCTCTTTGATTTTCTTGTTAATTTAATTCCACTTCACTGTTTTTATACCCTCCACCTTGGAAAGGAGGGTATATTAACTTCGTCATTCCGTTTGTAACATCCTTAAATATTCGTCTTAGACCCCATAAAGTATATATATTCATAATCAGCATAAAATTCTAAGTCGATTTAACGATGTCCATCTGTCTGTCTTTCCGTCTGTCTGTCTGTTGAAATCACGATACAGCACACATTATTTGACGTAGAGCGCCAAAGTTTAGCAGAGCTATTTGCATTGTGTCTAGGATGGTTGGTATTGAAAATGAGATATATCGGTCCACGTTCTGGTATAGTCCCCATATAACGGTACCTCCCTATATTCGGTATTTTGATGATTTATGCCACATTTTTCACGGATTTGTCTGGAAATTGGTATTTGTAGGTCATAACGGGTCCCTGAGCGTGTGGCAAAACATTGCATGTATAGGTCCACGTTGTGGTATAGCCCCCATATAAAGGTACCTCCCGGTATTCGGTATTTTAGTTTTTTTTTGCCACATTTTTTCACGGATTTGTCTGAAAATTGGTATTTGTTGGTCATAATGGGTTCCAGCTCCGGTGGCGAAACATTGTAATTATAGGTCCACGTTTTGGTATAACCCCCATATAACGCTACCTCCAGATATTCGGTAATTTGATGATTTCTGCCACATTTTTTTCACGGATTTGTCTGAAAATTGGTATTTGTTGGTCATAATGGGTTCCAGCTTCGGTGGCGAAACATTGCATGCATGGGTCCATGATTTGATATAGCCCCCATATAACGGTACATCCCGATATTCGGTATTTTGATGGTTTTTGCAACATTTTTTCACTGATTTGTCTAAAAATTGGTATTTGTGGGTCATAATGGGTCCTAGTTTGTGTAGCGAAACATTGTAATTATAGGTCCACGTTTTGGTGTAGCCCCCAAATCACGGTACCTCCCGATATTCGGCATTTTAATGGTTTTTGCCACATTTCCTCTGTTTCTTTTACCCTAAGGTTATCCAGTTGACAATCATCAAGATTGATTCCGTCCACAACACAGTACCACATATGGATTGCACCCTATATCCTGACATATCAGTCGGGGCTCAACCAGAACAGGAATGCCATGGAACACTAGTGGTGGCTCTTAACTTATCTAAGGCCTTTGATACGGTCAATTATGCCAAGCTGTTCAAATCTCATAGAGTGGAACAGGGAGTTCCCCAAGGTGGGGTGATATATCCGGATATTTTTAACATCTACTTCTCCGAGATCTCCATCGAAATCGTAACTTATGCGCATGACTGTACGATCATGGCGTCGGGTCCTGTCGTTGAAGACATATGCGTCAGGGTGAACAGCTATCTCACGGAGCTTGCGGCTTCCTTCCATACGAGGAATATGAAAATATCCACCACCAAACCAAATACCACATAAACGGCGAAAATGAGAACAGAACTGAATGTGCAGGTCGAGGGGCACATAATTCTGATCATTAACTATCCAAAAATCTTTGGGGTCACATTCAAAATCATATTCAAGTCGTCCGCGCAAGCCAAAGCTATCTGCGATAAAATGAAAAGTAGAAAAGGGTCTTAAGACGGCAGCCGGCAGCATTTGGGCGAGGAAAAGGAAACCATGTTGACCTCTTATAAAGCGATAAGTCGGTCTGTGGTTAGCTATGCGGTACCAGTGTGGTTTGCGAATACGAGTGCAACGCAATGTAAAAGTATTCAGCATGCCTCCTCATGACCCCTGTGTATCATATACATGAGGAGACGAAGATTCTTCCCTTACGTCAGCATAATCATTTATTTGTAGTACTGCTTGAGTGTTACCGAGAGAGCCATCCTAACCATTATATGGTGGACAGAACTCCTCCACCCAGATATGTTAGGAAGGGCCTGAATGATCTAGAGTGAGGTCCAACTATACAAGAGAGAGCCTCTAGATCAAGAAGCCTATCAATCGGGTCTAAATATCATTCATACTAATGCAGTCGCAGATGTAGTTATCCTGGGAGTCCACCCCGGGCACGAATTGATAAAGATGTGCGAAAAGTATGCCCAGCGAGTGATACAGGCCCGCACAATTCACTGTATCTTATCAACTATCCAACCCAACTCAGTCCAGAAGAGTGGGTTGCAGAATTCCTAAACCTGGACATCAAAGCAGATCCAAATTAGCAGTTATTAAACAATACAATATACACCACTGTTACAACAACGTCTTTAGTGTACATTTAAATTATTGTCCCAGTTAACCCTGACGATTGATCAATTTGAATAAAGAACCTTAACCAGGGCAACACTTTTGTATGTAAACGCTCTATAAGGGCTCTTGAGATGTTTTGTTTGTTTTTGTACGTATCTAATCATTTTTTCTGCTGAATTTGTAATGTTGTATTTGTATTTTTTGAGTGTCAGTCAATACGTAAGACACTGCTGCCAGTTTTGACGAAAAATTGAATTCGGAATTTCCTGAGTTCAGGTTTTTGTTTTTTTAGAAAATGTTTGAAAATATTGTAAAGGATAATTGATGGTCCAAATCTTTTTCCTATAAAAACAAAACTTGTTAAGTGGTATTACAGTATTTGCCAGCTAATGTTGAACGTGAAAGACCGAAATTATTTTCATAACATTATACCAAAGGTTATTTAAAACATAAATCAAATTATTATGACAACATTAAATATTTCGCGAAAAGATAAACTCAAGTATTTATTTATTTATAAATAAATTATAAATAACGTCATATTTAAATATTTTCTATTTATTGAATATTGTCTATGTTATGTTGTCTATTTTATGTTTCTTTAAATACATACATTTGCGTATTTTAATTTTTGACATTTTTGAAAAAGGTTTGATTTTTTTATAAAATTTAGCTGGTAGCTCTAACGTACTTTTGTATTTTGCAAGGTGCAGTTTACTGATTTATACCCACCGGAACTTTAATATTTGTCACTATAATTGTTAGCTTTGGAGTATTCTTTTTTTGTCTAACCGAAAATCAGCGATGGGTGTGGTACATGTCGCATTTGTTTTTGTTACACAGCTCTTGCAAACTTCTTCTTAATAAACATTTATTTTCAGGGAATATAAAGATTATTATAGGTAAAATTGTCTAAAAAGTTCATTTTAAATTTTTATCAATTACATTTGTAGTAAAAATACGAAATTGACTTACTCATAAATTTTCCGATACATCAAATTGTTAACAAACACATTTCTTTACATAATTTTTTTTATTAAGAGCTGGGCCAAAAATTACATTATTACATAAACAGGTTTTATAACGTTTTTGAGTGTAAATATGACAAATATCTTTATCATTTACAATAATATTTTACGCATGTGTATTATCATCTTCCACAAAGTCTTTTGCTTGCTCCCGTGTAACACAATCAATGTGACTTACTTTATTCCTAAAACGAACGCCATAGAACTTGTGGGCATTTTCCAACAGCTCCGGTCGAAACGTGGTTGTAATGAACTGTGCTTTATCACTCAATTCATGAATCATATCTGCAACTGCTTTTCTATGCTGTGCATCCAATGCCTGTAAATGAATGAAATATTATTTACAGCAATGTAAACACATATGAATATATAGGTTTCATTATCCTAAAAAACATCTATATATAAAAGAATGTTTATAACTCAAAAATGGCTTTACCGATTTGTTCGAAAATTGGTGAAGAGGTAGGAGACGGATATGGGATACTATTTTTACCTTAATTGTATCAAAAGTTTTTCAAAATTCATTTGATTGTGCTGGTCGAACAGATACAGGCAGAATTCTAAAATTTGGGAGGAACATTTGGTATAAAAATTAGGATGGAAAACTAGGGTTGATATAAGGAGGTGGTTTTAGAAATGTGTACTATATGTAAGAACTGTACTAAATGGTACTAAAAAACAAATATAAAATACCAAAAACGAGGGAGATATCTAAGAAAAATTACAAATAAATGATTTATTTTCCTGGAATATATGGAAGATTCCAAAACTCTGATTTACACAACAAACATAAATTGCAGATAGGAACACAACAATATATTAAAATGTTTATTATTAACATTAAAAGTAAAATTCCGATAACTCACTCAATGTAATATATAGCATTGGATGTGATGGAACAAAACATGAAAAATAAAAAAAAATAAATGATTACTGGGACATAAATCAGACATTACATTATGGAGAAAAAACACTTGCAAACGTAGCAATCACATACCAAACTTTGACAAAATACGAATATTACAATCTGAGAACAACTACAACAGAAGGTTAACACTGGAAAAAGCTACATATTAATAACATACAACAAACAAGAAGATTAACTATAATAGCAATACCGATAATACCGCTTATTATTATCGACATTTGACGAAGAAGAGATCGTGCAATACGTAAAAACGTGTTATGTTTTCTTAAATAGATTACGCCTGCAATTAATTAATTACAAAATATAGAAATACTTTGTTGTAATCAATAACATATAAAACTTACAATGACCTATAACTGAACAGACTATATTATTGAAAATGAATAATATTCTTGCAAAGATAAAACGCGGTGGTTATTTATTTTTTATAAATGTTTTATTAATTAGAGAACAAACTTCAAAAATGGTAGGTACATGAAGGAGGATCAAATTTGAAAGAAAAAATATTTTCTACAAAAATAAGCATTCAACAAAAAATGCAAACATATGTGAATGAAACAATATTAAATTTACTGAGTTATTTAAAAAAAAATAAATATTCAGAGTGACACAATACCCCCTCAAACTCTACGTTTCAATTGTAGTTCATATCGACGCTTTATGAATTTGCATGTATCCAATAATTTTGTAAACATGTCTGCTACTTCCGACTCTCTTGATATATGTTGAAGCTTTATTATTCCGTTGGCTATGTAATTTCGTGGAAAGTGATACTTCACATCAATATGTTTTGATCTTTTGCTGTCAGAATTCTGCGCTATGCCGATACATCCTCTGTTATTCTCATACATTATAACGTTCAAATCTATAAGAATTCCTCCAAACATCATAACTGGGGGGTATGTGTTCGGCTTCACTTGATGAGGTTGCAACTATAGTTTGTTTCTTTTGCTCCATGATAAAGGGCAAGAGAAAACCTTGAAAATAAACACACTTACAGATTTACGGTCTGTGTTATCTGAAGCCCAATCTACGAACCCAATACATTAGGCATCCCAGCATTTCACAACATGGTTTATCCGTTAACTCTTGGGTTTCTATTGGAAGAATCTATGCCTTTTCCGTTAGACTTTTTGTAAGATTGCACTTTTATTGAGAATTTTTCAAGAATTTATATGTAATTTTTCTGATTCATCTTGATTGTGCTATTAGTTCTATCATATTTGATGCGAAATAGCCATTTGGACTTCAAATCTTTATGGTTGACAGGGTGTGAAACCAAATCCCAAACACGTTTTTCTTCAGTAGAGTCAAACACTTCCATCACAGCTCTAATCCAATTTTTTTAAAGGAATCCCTAATGATTTCGTCATATGTTTTAGGCTCCACTATACACTGGGAAATTGCAGAATTGGTATTTCCTGTTATATAACCTATTAATTCGCCCTTAATCTTTCGCTTCTTCTTGGCTCCAATGAAACAGTTTCAGAGTTTGGTATTTCAGATTGCGAAGCCGTTAATGGGAGTTTCTTTCATTTTCGTTAATATCAGTTTCTTCATTGACAGAATCGGTATCGTTACCATTTTCTGCAGAAACCAATTCATCATCTGAATTAATTTAAACATTACTGAAATGTTCAGCAGGAACGGGATTCTCCACACATTCCCCCTCTTGCTCGTTGCTGCGGGATCTTATAAGCGATTGAGGATTTTTTTTTCTAAATCTGTTGCAAATAAGGAAAACAGTCATCGACAGAACGAACATCTCTTGCAATAACTATGTTTCTGGTCTTTGGATACCACAATCTGAATCCATTACACGGATATATCCCATCATTACCATTTCTTGTGATTTTGAATTTACTTTTTTCATTTCTGTTTAGCAACCCAGACAAATGCCTTACATCCAAAAACTCTTAGTTTTGATATGTTAGGATTAATCTTGGACCACAATTCGAAAGTTGTATTTTTATCAAAAAGAGATTTGCAGAGGCTTCTGTTTGTAAGATATGTTGTGGTTAAAGCTCATAAGGGTGACCCATTCTTGAGTGCCATTCCATTTTCTGTTAATTTTGGCACTGAAAGCAAGTTATCCCGAAATCCTTTAACATATGGGACACCTTTCATTGTGATTGGTGTTTACACATGTGATCCGTCGCCCCAGAATCTATTTTGAAATCTTCAGACTTATCTTTAATTATCTTACCATCAGGGATCGCTGACATGAAACAAATTTACTTCGAAGCTGACGCTGTATTAGCCTTTTTATTTTACAAAAAAACGCGGCAATTCTTTTGTTTATGGCCCTTTTACTTACAGCGGAAACACACACCAAAGAATTTTTTCGACTTCTTCACACTACTAAATGCAGATGTCGTGGAAGTATCCATGTCACAACGATTTTGCTTCTTCGTATCATCTGCTAGTAGCATTTTCTTAACTATTTCGATATATAGGTTTTCTTCATTCATATTTTCGAACGCGGCCACTGCCGAGTCAAAAGCTTCTGATAGCGTGACGAACAGTTGAACAGCGGCATCTCTTTTATTCACATTTGCTCCAGAAGTTTTTAATGTTCCGTAAAAGTCCATCAAACAATAGTAAATGTTCCCGCAAATCACCACCAGGCTTCATTTCCAGAACCGCTAATGATTTTTTACCAATGTCTGACTCGTAACCTACTTCTTAGCAAATGTATTTTGCAGAGCAGACCACATCTCATTCGCTGTTTTCTTGTCGCGATCACATTCCAAATAATCATCTGTTATTAGGCTGATGATTGTTGTCTTAGCCTTTTTATCCTTTTTAGAGAATGCTTCAGCTAAGTTTTTTTCGGCTATGGCATCCAGCAAATTCAACTAATCCAGATACATCCGCACTCGAAAATTCCAGTTCTCAAAATTAATGTTGCAATTCATTGGACTGACTCTTGCTTAATATCGTCCACAACCTCTTTTAATATTCTTGCAGATATAAAACTCGATGGTTATTTATTTTTCATAAAAGTTTTTTTGATTAGAAAACAAATTTGAAAATGGAAATATGGTATATATGGAGAATAAATTTGAAGTAAAGAAAAAATATTTTCTACAAAAAATAGGTATTCAACAAAAATGCTAATGTATGTGATTAAAATAATATTAAAATCACTGAGTTATTTAAAAAATTGAGATATTCAGAGTGTCACAACAGAATAACTACAACAGAAGGTTAACACTGGAGAAGCTACATATTAATAACATACCAACAAACAAGAAGAATCGTGCAATACGTAAAAATGTTATGTTTTCTTAAATAGATTATTCATGCAATTTAATAATTTCAAATATGGGAATACTTTATTGTACAAAAACAACAATAATGGGATTATGCTTGACCATTTTGCAACAACAAAATACCATGGTATCCCGAATAAACATGCCAACACTGTTCTAGTAATCAATAACATATAGATAAAGTGGGCTAGTTTTATGGGGCCATACCAAATCCGGAAGCTATAGAGAAACAATTCTACTATAAGGGTTGTTTACTATTTTAAAACAATTCCACGGGAAATCTGTTTGTAAAAAAAAACCGAATATAGGTGGGTACTGTTGTATGGAAACCGTGTATTATTATGGACAATGCTCTGACACAGGATGTAATAAAAATACCAATTATAAACAAACCAGTGCGATGGTGCTGAGTCCCGTTGGAATGTCCATGGTCTGCGGCCAAGATGTTTGTGTGCCCAAGGCTTTGATACACCCTCCAGAATATTTTCGCGATAATATTTGGCTTTTATTCCAATTCTGAGGTCGCTTACTACGAGCGGAAGCTGTTAGGGCAGCCCACATCATACCATGGCCGGCGCTTCAGTTCAGGTGGCCAACCGATGGTGCACATTTTCTGCTGACCACTTTGGCAAGTAAACACGATAATTTTGTTTGCTTAGAAACTTCTCATCGGAGAAAACCAAATTCGGCAGTTCACCACCTTCGGCCACGCGAAGCCACTCTTTAGCTCTTTTGAGTCTATTTTCTTTCTGTTGCGGTGTAAGTTCTTTCACTTTTGAATTTCAATGGCTTTACCCATGCTCATTTTTCAATATTTGCCAAATGGAATATTACTATATGTTCAGCTCACGAGTCATTTTTCGGCCACTGCGGCGCGGATTTAGATTAAGTCGCTTCTTTACTTTTCGAACCATTTCAGCTGATGTTGCTGTTGTTGTCCGTCCACTTCATTGAAGTCGGCCTACGCTACCAGTATCACAAAAAGATTTATTTACATTTAAATGCTGGAGTGCTTCACACTATCACGCTTGAATTCCATTACGAATAATTTTTTTTCTTGAAAATTCTCACCAAAACGCTTTTGTATGCTTGTAAACAATTAAGAGCTGTCACTGG